AGTGGAGAAGAACTTTCACTGCCAAACTGGATACTCCCAGTCTGGCCTGGGAGGGTACGAACAACTACAAAATTTCGAGCATGTGAGCAAGCCCAGGAGATAGCTTTCGGGATACCAAGAGGCCCGGGTGGAAGGGATGGCGACGAGCAGAGACAAAGCAAGCGGCAGAGATTGAGAAACGGGGCCGAGAATGCCACGAAGGATGGGCAATAAGAGAGATAAACCAAGAGGATGAGAGAGTTTCTGAAAGGCCAAGAGGGCACACGCCAATGACAGACAGACTAAAGCAAAAACGATACAGTGGGGTCTCGGCCCAAAGGTCGCCAAGACAATGACACAGTTACCTTGGGATGAACTCGTGGAATAACAACCCCTCTGAGACCCAGATTAAGGTGGGGGCAGCATATATCCTGATTTAGAGAGAGAGTCCCTGCCCTCCCAATGTCTGACCCCAGGGAGACCCAGGATAGGGACTTACTGCCTCCCATAGAACCGGGAGGGTGGGAGGAAGGGAAGATAGGGCTCTTCAACCTGAGGCCAAGGCCTGGGGAGGGTCTTAGCTCCCCAGGAGGAGCAAGAGGGGCAGAGGCCTCTCCTCCACCATCCCTCACCTCTCTCCCAGGGAAGGTTGACCCTGGCGCCCTTCAGAAGCACAGCACGGGAAGTACTCCAGAGCCAACTGCTTCCTTCTCCAAACAATGCAGGATCCTGCTAACCGGCTGAAATCTGGGACTGAACACAGAGGGGTGGGGGACTAGGTTCTTCAAATGCTCACATCCCACCGTTCGCTCCGACAGGTCAAGGGACCCTTGCATGGGACTCGCCTGGGCGATAAGCACCCCCCATTCAGAGCTGGAGGACTTGAACCTGGAGAGTCCATGAAGTGGGGGGCAGGGGGAGCTCAAAAGAGACTCCTGAGAGGGAATGAGCTTGGGGTTCTAATGTGCAAGGCGGAGGCTGCAACAGGGGGACAGAGAGTTAGACTTGCATAAGGAAGAGCTCCCAAAGGTGAGATCCTAGGAGTTTGCAAGAGTTTGGGGCATTTGGACAAGCTCTGGCTCTGGCCAGTGCCCCGATTGGCATCCTTGGGAGGCCTGGTGATGGGGAAGTGGTTGGGAACAAAAAACTATGGAGAAAATGGAGGAAGGGGAAGCAAGAATGGGGAAAAAGGAAGTCTTATGAAGCAGCCTCAAACATCAAAATATCCTGCTCCCCCTCCCCCAAATCCCAGAATCAATGTCCTACATGTCCCTGCTTTGTCTTTCGTGTCTCTGCTTTGAAAGATAAGGGTAAAGGGAGATGTTCAAGGAACTGGGTCTGACCAGGGATAAAAGGAGTTTGGAACCTTTCCCCAAAGAGCCAGGAGGCAAACACCTCAGTTTCATAACTCACTTCAACTGTCCAGCTTGTCTGATAAGTGGTAACACGCTGCTCAAGGGTGTGTGTGAAGAGCGGTCGGAGGAAGGAAGGGAGTCAGCCTTCGTCCGTGAGCCGGATCTGCCTGGGGCAGCCCTCTCGCTACAAAATGTTCTTCATCTCAGCAGGATCCTCAATAACCCTTCTTCCCATTCCGCACCCCATCTGTTTCCCCATCCTTCCCATAGCAAGGACACTCGACTCTGTCTACTAGCAGGGAATGACATTGCTCCCGAAAGAGAAAGGGACCCTAGGGTAGGTTCAGGCATAGCAGAGAAGGCAGAAGAGGTGGGGGAGACCCCAGGCTGCTCCCCTGGAAGAGCAGCAAGACCTGTGAGAGCAGCAGGAAGGAAGGTTAGATACTAAGTCAGGTAAGATGGGGCCGGGAGGTTTCCTTCTCTCAAAGATGTCTGTGGGCTTGGGACTTGGGGCTTGAGGTCAGGGGTAGGAAGGATAAGGGAACCCCTTAGGCTGCCTGGATAGCACTGGCCCTCCGGCCTGTGCAATTCCCCTTCCTGACCCAGAGTGGGTGAGACTCATGATTCATAGTCCTATTCCCAAGGTAAGAAGGGTAGTGTGTGCTGGGGGAGGGGTCCTTTCCCTGGAATTTTGGGTACAGGTTGGTTTGAGCTGGGGTTACAGCCATGAACTGAGTGAAAATTTTAAGAAAGGGCAGGGAGGCATTAAGGAGAATATATCCAGTCTCCCTCTTCCACTCACCACCAACCAACTTGGTGTGGCAAATAGAACCGTTTTAGAACCCTGGGGGTGACACTACCTGGGCCATTCCTGACTGGGCTGGGGAAACTTTCTGTTCTCCACAGACTCCTGATGGTGTCTCTCTCTCTCCCTCTCTCTCTTAAATTTTTTTTCTCTCCCTCCCAGAAGCTGCTACTGTATATCTAAATCCCTCTGCCTCGGTTTCCCCTCCCACCTCACAGAATTGATGACAAGAGGCAAGAACATGCATAAGAGGAATGTCATGAGTAAGGGTTGGCTGTGAGGGCTGGTCAGGAGAACATTCAGGACAGATCCTCTTTACTCCTTTTGGGCAGATAATTGAGGTTGAGGGTGGCAGAGGAGCAGACAGTCCCCAAGACAGAATTATTGAGGGTCACTGAATATACTGTTTTTCTGGCACAGCTGCTTCCTGACTCCCTAACCTCCCTCTCTCAACCGAAGCAATTTGGGGTAGGGGAAGAGCCGGAAAGGTAATCTGATTTCAGAGAAAACTTTCCTAATCTCAACCTCGCAAAATTTAGAAGATGGAGGAAGGGTGCAGGATGGTATTAGGCCCAATTTTTCCCGGATGACAGGAAGCGGTGAGATCCCACCCCTTCTCAAGTCAGGGGCCCAGCCCAACCCCATGACCCCAGCTCAAAGCTTAGGCAAGACCTGAACCAGTGACTCACAAATAAGAGGAAAAAAAATAGCTGACATAAACGGGGAGGGGGCACTTCCCCAACAGGACACAGTTCTAGCCCAAACCCAACTGTAGTGTTCAAAGTGTATGTAAATGGGGGGAGAAGGGGAATGGTAGAGAGAAATAAACACATTTACCAAAGGAGCAGGGAATTGGGGAGTTGGGGCATAGCCATAACCCCCATCCAACCTCCAGCTCCCCTACCAGTCCCCACTGTGATCAGGCCAGGAGGCGAGAGAGCAGCCTTCTTCCCACCTCCCACCTCAACATTCCAGGCCATTCTCCAGCCCCCTTACCCAACCATGACATCTGACGTTTTTCCTTTCAAAGCTCCCAGGAATTAAGAAGGAAAATTCAAAGCCACACAGCATCTCCTGCTTCTCCTCTGCCCCCCAAAACAGCCCTATTCAGGCTACTGACAGAGGCCCTGAGAGGGGAAAGTGCTCACTTCGGAACCCAGGCCGGCAGAGGCTGGATCCTGGACCCAGGCCTCCAAGCCTGGTCTCCCAGGCCCAGATTCCACACCCAAGCAGGGGGTGCTCTCCATGGCCCTCCCTTTCCACCCACAGCCATCTCGGGCCTGCCTGCCCTCTTCCCAGCGAGACACTCTTGACCTGGCTCCCTCTTCCAGATTCAGAGGCCACTGCAAAAGTCCCTCCACCCCCATTTGCAGCCCTGTATTGCAAACCCGGATTCCTTCACCATTCAGATGGGGGTGGAGGGGTGGAGGATGTAGGGGAGGTGGAGGCCCTCCCCAACCAGAGATAGGAAGAGAAGGCCTCTGGATCCCTGGATCAGAAGAGGGGGGAACCCTCTCCTCCCTTCCCAGGCCTCTGGTCTTTGTTTGGGATGGGGGCCCCCATGGAAGCATCATTCACCCAGGGCCACATCCTCCAAATTGGACCCCCATCCCCACCCCCAGTTGGGACGCTGCTGTGTCAGCTGGACTGTGATAACAAAAGGCACCCCCTCCCGCGTCTCCCTTCCCCATCCAAACGCAGGAGTGGGGGCTGGGGAGTGGGTGTCCCCAGGGGTCCTAGGGGGCCGCGGAATCTCACTTACCGTCGACAGCGGCCGCGACCAGAGCTGAGAGCAGGGGCAGCAGCAGCAGCTGCGGCGGGGTCAGCATGGTGTGATGCAAGCAGCAGCCCCCTACTCTCCGATCCTGCTACTTCTCACCGTCGCCCCCCCCCCAATTGGGGGGTCCCCCTTTTTCCTCCTTTCCTCCTCCTCTATTCTTATCCTATCCTTCAGCAACGCGCACCAGGGGCGTGGGTGAAGAGGCAGAGCTCGGAGCCCCTTGTGGAGGGTCTGCCGACGAGGGTACGCCCCCTGACCCCAAATCCAAACCCTTCGCCCCCTGCTTTTCTCTTCGCTCCTCTTTCCCCGGTCCCTGGGCAAAGCTCACAGCTCCATCTCCGAGCCGCCTCCGGCTGCAAAAATGCACAATTGGGAGGAGGCGGGGGGGGGGGGTGGGGGCGTGGACCGGGTTGGGGAGCCCTTGGAAGGGGCCTGATGGAGCTCTGGGGGCTCTCCTCGTTTCTGCCTCCTCAGTGCCCGGGCCTGGAGCTCGCACCACTGTTCCCCCGACTGAGGTGCCGCGGGGCGGGCTGAGAGGGAGAGAGGGAGGGGAAGGGTGGAGGAGGGAGGGAGAGAAGGGGCGGGGAAAGAAGAAAAAGGGAGGGGGGAGAGCTACGCGGCAGTCCTGCGGGTGCGCATGCGCGGGGTTGGCGCGCTGCCCTGGGGAGGGGGCGCCCGGGCAGCTCCGAGGGCTTGCGCTCCGGCCCGCGGTTCGAGATCGGGGTCCCGTGGCGCCGCTGGCGGGCTCGGGGCGGGGAGCGTCCTCTCCCCCGCCGGGGCCTTTCTCTCCCCCGCTGCGAGTGGCTGGAGGAACGGGGGTGCTTGGGCAGTGGGCCCGCCAAGTGGAGTGGCTGCTCCCCTAGGATTTCAGCCGGGTCTGGGGATCCTGGTTTCCTGGAGGTGCCCTGACCGTGCCCCGCCGGCCTGGGGTGGGGGCAGGGGCCGCCATCGCGGGGACGGTTCGGGGAAAGGCTGAGCTTGGATTCGAAGACTTTTGGAGAGGGACCGGGACCGGGGCCAGCGGCGGGGGCGGGGGAGGAGGGCCGCGAGGGCCCGCCCCCACCTCGCTCCGGGACTCGGAGTAAACAGGGACACCGCGGGGACACGCCGCAGCTTGTCCGCCCTCCCGGGGCCTGGGGATGGAGCCCACCTTCGTCCCCGCCTCGCCCTGCCCGCCTGGCACGGAGCGCGGGAGGGGCAGGCGCTGGTTTGGAGGGAGGTGAGTCACCAGCGGGTGGGGCTGCCCCCTTCGCCCCAAGAGGTCGGGGCTCGTTTATTTTTTATTTTTTTATCCCTTCTGCCTGGCTCCCCACCAAGTCGGGGTTTTAGATTCCGAGCAACAGAGATTTGGAATAAGATGAGGGACTCTGGACCCGAGTTCTGAGCGGGAGTCTGCTGAGCGCGGGAGCTCTGTCCGGCCCGCGGGCGGTCCGGGGAGGCTGCCTTCAGCCCCGGGCGCCGGCGGGTCCACCGCCCCGCGGAGGTGCTTCTGGCCACTGCCCCCTCCTGGGCGGTGTTTGCAGCCTGCGCCCTGGGCGTCTGGCTTTCTGGTGTCTGGAAGCCAGAGTGCAGGGAGACAGCAGGCGACTTGGGCTGCCAGAAACTGAGGTTAAGAAGAGAGGGTTGTACCCTTTTAAAATTCTAGCCAAGGAAGGGTTCTCCGTCCTCCAGGCTGTCCTTGCAGAAAGCGGAGCAACACTGAGGACTTGTCCCCTGATGGCAGTGCGAGCCACGGAAGAATCCAGAGGAAACCAGACCTTTTCCCCAAACCAGAGCTCCCTCTGGGCTGGGTTTGCTCCAGGCCACGGCCACCTACCTTTCGTCTTCCAGGCTAGAAATCTCAGACGCTGCCAATTCTGTCTAATCTTGCAAGTCTGTGCTCAAGGTCTGTCATTTTTTCCTTTGAAATAAAGCTCCAATTTCCTCTGCCAGAGATTCTTCACACAGCGGTGGAATCTTATTCATCCAATTATACAGCCCTCCTGGGCTAACACAGTGACAGACACACGGCGGCAGGGACTCACTAAACGTGTTTAGTGAATGCCTATCAGATTCCTTCCTCTCCCAGGACCTTCTCCCAATGTTACGGTCCAAGCGAAATCAGATTGAAACAGATTTCAGACATCTTTGAAAGGAAAAAGCTAGATGGGATGACCGTATGTCGCTTGTAAGGTGGCAGTTTCATTCCTCTCCCTGCTAGTTACCTTACAAAGGTGAGTCTTTCTACATCCGTTCTCCCTGTGTAGTCTCTTCCTGGATGGCAGACCTCTACTGGGTGTCTGTCTGTAGACAACTAAATCCAGTATGAACTCCTTTCCCAGCCACGGACTTCCAAAATCTGGCCTCAGCCAGCACGTCAACACTTATTTGCTACCTCCCAACTCCTACGAGCTCATGAATGTGAATGTGTATTTATTTTTAACTTTATCTTATAAAAATGGTAATAATTAGTGGTTAAAAAAACCCTCAGCGTATAGGAAGGTACAAGGTGAAAAGTAAACTCGCTGCTCTCCACATTCCCATTCTTCAGTCCCACCCTCAGAATCACCACTACTGAGAGTTCTGTGGGTCTCCTTCCAAGAGGTTAAAAAAAAACCCCACAAAAAAAACAAATAAACATCATTTAAACCACAAATGAGCTCATACAATATATACTATTCTGTAACTTATTTTTCAATTAACTTATCTTGATCCCTTTCCACTTTGTACACGCACATCTCACCCTCTTTTTATATTGGCTACTTGCAGTGTCCTTGCTTGGATTCTACACAATCCATTAGGGTTGTTGGACACTTGGTTATTTCCAGTATGTGAACTGTGAGGGTGTCTCTAAAAGAGAGCGAATGCATATTTCTATCTGAGCCTTTAATTATACTGTTCTCCCAGCCCCTCCTTACCCTCCTTAGAAAAACCGTCCTGTTATTCTCCCTTTGCCCGTCTCTCCTGTTCCCAACTTGTACTCAGGATAGCCTCAGTACCTAGACCAGTGGTTCCCATCGTGGGGCACACGCCCCACAGGGGGGCAATTTGATTTTTAAGGGGGGCAATTTGAGAATGAGTTACTAACAGTGAATTTTTTGCATTTCTTATGGCTCTAGGGGCCTCATATACAGTATATAAATATATATTGTGACATTTTCATGCACTTTGGTTCTCTATTATATATTTTGAAACTTTATTTGCTATTTTTTTTTATATCACTTCATATTATTACTAGAGGCCAGATGCATGAAGTTCGTGCATGCGCTGGGTCCCTAGACCTGGCTGGAGATCAGGGACGATCTGTGAGGGCACTGGCAGGGCGATGGGGGGTGGGGGGGTGCTGGCACCCACCTTGGCCAGCCTGCGGGCTGGGGGCAGCTCCTGGTGGTCGGTGCGTATCATAGCGACCGGTCTTTCTACAGTTTGGTCAATTTGCATATTAGGCTTTTATTATATAGGATTTTTTAAACAATTTCATAGTGATCTCTTCCTCAGTACTTCAACTGTCCTTTTGTTCTTTTATGTTTCTCGTTCATGGATGCCATGTTCTTTGGAAGTTTGTTTAGACCAAGTTAATGGTCTTTTCGACTTCCTCCACGTGAATAGGAGTTCACTTTTTGAATAATAAGAATTATGTGCCGAAACTGGTTTGGCTCAGTGGATAGAGCGTCGGCCTGCGGACTGAAAGGTCCCGGGTTCGATTCCGGTCAAGGGCATGTGCCTGGGTTGTGGGCACTTCCCCAGTGGGGGATGTGCAGGAGGCAGCTGATCGATGTTTCTCTCTCATCGATGTTTCTAACTCTCTATCTCTCTCTCTTCCTCTCTGTAAAAAATCAATAAAATATATTTAAAAAAAAAAAAAAAGAATTATGTGTCACGGGGGGTAAGGGGGGGCATTAGGATTTTAGAGGTGCTTCGGTGGGACATGGCCAAAAAGAGGCTGGGAACCACTGACCTAGACATTAGCACTTAATTGTGCAGGTTCTGTGTCTGCCACCACACTGTAAACTCCTTAAGGGCAAGGGTGTCTTTTATGTCTTAGTATCCACCCACTATTAGGAGCTCTTGATTAACGGATGGGAAGGCTGACAGAGTGTCAGGGCCAGGGGTGCCTGTGCTGGTTGAGGAGACCATCATCATTAATTCCTTTCAGGCAGATGTGACTGTAAACACCTCCTCTGTATTTCTCCTATAGCACTCATGAATCCCTCTCTGCCTCAGCATCTTCTCCCACTTCTATTGTTAAGAAGCATTTTCAATCTTCAAATCCTTGAGTTGAAATTATAACCAAAATAGCAAGAAATTAAAGAGGAATTCTCTGCAACCCATAATCAGGATACCTAGAATGGTGACAGTAGGAAAAGACGTTAGTGTGGGAGAGGGTATCTTCTTTTTTGGATCTTCCAGCAAATCCTGAAACATCTTTTCCTGTCTGAGTGTAACAGGCACTGGGATTGGGGCCTTAAGGGGGCTGCTCTGGGATTGATTGTCAGGCCAGAGGCTGACACCACCTAGTGGTCAGCTAAAGAAGTGTAATAGGGAGGCTGTTTCTGAAGGATATGGCGGAAGATGGGAAGAGACGAAGATTTATTGAGCTACTATTTACCATGTACCAATTCACGCAATGGGTTTTACATGGATTAGCTCACTCGAGTCTCGTAACCACCTTATGGCATAGGTGTTATTTCCAGTTTGTAGATATGGGACTAGAGCAGTGGTTCTCAACCTTCCTAATGCCGCGACCCTTTAATACAGTTCCTCATGTTGTGGTGACCCCCAATTTCATTGTTACAAATTGAACATGATTAAAGAATAGTTATTAATCACAAAAACAATATGTAATTATATATGTGTTTTCTGATGGTCTTAGGTGACCCCTGTGAAAGGGTCGTCCGACCCCCAAAGGGGTCGCGACCCACAGGTTGAGAACCCCTGGAATAGAGGCTCAAAGAGGTGAAGGAAATCTGCCCCAGATCACAATGCAGATTGGAGCCCAGTTTTCATACATTAATAAACATTTATTAGGTACCTCAAATGTGCAGAGCATATTGGTAGGCACTAGGGACAAGAAATGGAAATACAAAGTCTCAGGTTTCAGGAAGCATATAGATTGGTGGAGCTGTGCGATAAGATGACTGACAGTTATAACACAGTACCTTAGTGTCTATAATAAAGGCAAGTGCAGATGGCCATGGGAACCAGGGAAGGATACTTATTCCAGATAAGGGGGGTCAAAGCACAGCAGTGCAGACAATACCCGCTACATGTTGAAAGAGAAGAAGGAAGTGACAGGCAACGGCAGGAGGAAAGTTTGTTTTAGGTTGGTGGGCAAGCAAAGGCATGGAGGCATGAGGAAGTTTAAAACACTTGAGGAAGCTTTCCGATCTGCCATCCATGGTGGAACTGCCACCAAGATGCAGATTTTTGTGAAAACCCTTGTGAGGAAGACCATCACTCTCAAGGCTGACCCCTTGGATACAAGAGAGAATATAAAGACCAAGATCTAAGATAAGGAAGGAATTCCCCCTGATCAGCAAAGACTGATCGTTGCTGGCAAGAGACTGGAATATGGATGTTCTTTGTTTGACCATAACCTTCAAAAGGAGTCCACTCTTTATCTTGTGTTGAGACTACGTGGTGGTGCTAAGCAAGAGAAGCATTCTTACACCCCTCCCAGCAGGAGTGAGCATAAGAGAAAGAGGGTTAAGCTGGCTGTCCTGAAATACTATAAGGTGGATGAGATGGCACAATCAGTTGGCTTCGTTGGGAGTGCCCTTTAGATGAATGTGTGCCAGAGTTTTATGGCCAGCCACTTTAACAGTCATTGTTGTGGCAAATGTCTGACCTGTTGCTTCAACAAACTAGAAGACAAGTAATTGTACATGGGTCATAAGAGACATCCACTGGCGCAGCCTGCACGGCTCAGGGGTTGAGCATCCACTTATGAACCAGGAGGTCATGGTTTGATTCCTGGTCAGGGCACATGCCCTGGTTTCGGGCCCAATCCCCAAAGTGGACCATGCAGGAGGCAGCTGATTAATGATTCTCTTTCATCATTGATATTTCTATCTCTCTTTCCCTCTCCCCTCATCTCTGAAGTCAATAAAAATATTTTTAAATTTAAAAACACACACACATGAAACTTGTCACAAAGTAGTTAAAAAAAAGACAACTAACATTTAAAAAAACAACACTTGAGGAATGACTAATATGATATGGCTAAAGTTTAAGGTACTTATTGGGGAAGGTAAAGGGTGAAGTGTTCGTGAGCCTAATTATTATTATTTTTTAAAATATATTTTATTGATTTTTTACAGAGAAGAAGGGAGAGAAATAGAGAGTTAGAAACATCAATCAGCTGCCTCCGGCACACCCGCTACTGGGGATATGCCTGCAACCAAGGTACAGGCCCTTGACCGGAATCGAACCTGGGATTCAGTCCGCAAGCCAACTCTCTATCCACTGAGCCAAACCAGTTAGGGCTCGTGAGCCTAATTATAAAGGGTGATTTTAGGCACCCTAAGTAAGAACTTAGGCTTTTTTTTCTAGAAGTTGTGGGAAGCCAGGTGAAAAACTGATGAAGTTCTTAATGCATCAGCCATAAAGCTGGAGAGGAAGAGGATTCTAGACTAAGGAGATAGGATCAAGTTTACTAATTGGTTTACCATGTTGCCCTACAGCAGGGATGGGGAATGTCCGGCCCATGGCGGCCGTATAAGGCCCACAAAATAATTTGGTCTGGCCCTGCCAAGGCATTAGGGGTGAGTTAATTAAACATTTGACCAAATATAGGAGTCTAATTTTTTTTTTAAGTCCTACAAGGTGTTTTGGGCCAGGATTTGGCCAAGTGTGTGCATTTTTGTTTTTAAATGTTTTTATTGATTTAGAGAGAAAGGAAGGGAGAGGGATATAGAGATAGAAACATTGATCAGCTGCTTCCTGCACATCC